TCTGAAAAAGTCAAGTTTTTTGCCAAGACCTTAGTTTTTTGTTTGTTTAGCTTGAATCCCGCCACCCGACCAAACTCATAGATTAATTCTAAAACTCTTTTTGTGCTAGGTTCTGGCTCCTGCAATGTTAAAACCAAATCATCTGCAAAGGCTTTCAGTTTATATTGTTTTCCTCCGACCTGTATTCCTTCCACCAGCTGATCCCTCCTAATCAAGTTCAACAGCACCTCCAGAACAGAGATAAATAACAAGGGTGATAAGGGGCACCCCTGTCGTGTCCCTTTTTCAATTTTGAACTCCTCTGTCACCACATTGTTCACTATCAATTTAGCCTTTTGTTCTGAATAGATTGCTTCAATCCCATTTTGGAACGCCCTTCCCACACCCATCCCTTCCAAATTTTTCTTCATAAATCTCCAAGATATATTGTCAAAGGCCTTCTCGGCATCTATGAAAATCAAAACTGCTTTCGTATTCAAATTTGTCTGCAGTAACTCCAAAACATCAATAATATTCCTGGTGTTGTCAGACAAATGTCTACCAGGGAGAAAGCCTGCTTGGTCTTTATGAATTACTTCATTTAGAACTTTTTTAAATCTACTTGCCAAAATATCAGCAAAAATTTTGTAATCCACGTTTAGGAGTGAGATGGGACGGTAGTTCTTGAGTTGAGTCTTTTCAGATTCCAATTTTGGTATCAAAGTGATGAAAGCTTCTTTCCACGATTCTGGTGCCCCCTTCCCTTCCATAATTTGGTTGCATACCTCCATTAATGGCTGAATCAAATAGTCCTTCAATGTCTTATAATATTTGGAAGTAAGTCCATCTGGGCCTGGGGATTTGCCTAATTGCATATTCTGAATGGCACTTTCAATTTCCTGTTGTGTTATTCTGTAATTCAGGATTGTTTGTTTATCTTGAGATAATTTCTGCAAGCCATGACTTTTTATAAATTGGTTTATCTCAATCTCTGCTTGAGGTCCTTGAGTAAACAGTTTTTAAAAATATCTCTGGAAGCACTTTCTAATTTCTTCTGGTTTCTGAATACATTCTCCTTCGACCTCCAGATTGGTAACAAAGTTCAGCTTTTGCCTCTTTTTCAGCTGCCACGCCAGCAGCTTCCCACATTTATTTGCCGATTCGAATGATCTTTGTTTCATCTGCTTGATTTTCCATTCAACTTCTTGATTAATCAATTTCGCATATTGTGCCTGATGGAATTTTATTTCTCTTAAAACTTCTTTTGATTTTGGATTAAGTCTCAACTTTTTCTCTCCATCTCTTATCTTCTCCAAAATCTTATCCTTTTTACCATTCCAGAGTTTTTTCTTAATAGTATTCTGTTGTATCAGAAACCCTCTCATCACTGCTTTGCTCGCGTCCCAGATTGTTTTCTTTTCCACCAAAGTGTTCAAATTTATTTCGAAGTAATCCTTCAGCGTTTTTTGGGCCTTCTTCACAATCTCCTGATCTCTAAACAAGGTGTCATTCATTCTCCATCTGAAGGATCCAGCTGGTGTAAGTCTCAAATCCATTTTCAGGGCGTTATGGTCGGAGCAGGCTTTGGGGCAGATCTCTATTTTTTTTGTCTTAGGTGCCAGTCCTCTAGATATCCAAATTTGGTTGATTCTTGTCCATGATAGGTGGGCCTCAGAAAAGAATGTCCCTTCTTTTCCTAGAGGGTTTTTTGTCCTCCAAATGTCAATCAAATCCATATTGTCTGTTAGTTCAAAGAAAGTCTTAGGTAGTCTGCCATCTTTAGTCAAGTTTTGATTTTGTGACTTATCCATGTAAGTGGAGACAACCCCATTCATGTCTCCCATCAAAATGATGTTAGTATAGTCAATATGGTCCAGCATTATCTCATGCAGCTTTTTGTAAAATTCCGATTTCCCCTCGTTTGGTGCATATATTCCTACTATCAAAAATTTTTCTCCTTGTGATTGTATTTCAATCGCCAAAATTCTTCCTTGTTCGTCTTTAATAACAAACTTCGGTGCTAGGTTCTCCTTTGCATAAATCACTACTCCTCTTTTTTTTACCTTGTCTGATGAAATAAATTCTTGGCCTAGTCTCTTATTGATTAACACCCTCCTGTGGAGCCTAGTCACATGTGTTTCTTGCAGACAAATAACGTCCAATTGTTCTTTCCTCAATATGTGAAAAATCCTTCTTCTTTTTTCAGGGGAATTTGCGCCATGAATGTTCCAACTAAGAAGCTGCAGAGACATCCTGAATCAATTTGTCAACCTGTAGGATTGTCTCCCTTGTCGTCTATATCTGGAAGTGGGTCCGGTTTTGGGCCAGGCGGAGGTAGTGACCAAGCACCTGCTACTCCTTTCCGAAGGTCCTCCCCGTAGTCGTTTAGGAACTTTTCTTGCTCCTCTGCTGATCTGATTCTTACTTTTTTCCCTTTCAAATTGAAAGCTAATCCTTGAGGAAATTCCCACCTATAAGGAATTGTGTTGTTCCTTAGTAGACTTGCGAGGTCTTTGTATGTAGCTCTTAAATCCAACAATCCAACTGAGGAGGACCGCCATTGCCGTTTCGCGCCGCCTCCGGAAGTCTCTATACAGTGGTACCTTTGGATACGAACGGGATCTGTTCTGGAGCCCCGTTTGCATCCAGAAGCGAACGCAACCTGCGTCTGCGTGTCTGCGCGGGTCACGATTCGCTGCTTCCGCGCATGCACGTGACGTCATTTTGACCGTCTACACATGCGCGAGCGGCAAAACCCGGAAGTAACACATTCTGTTATTTCCGGGTCACCGTGGAGCACAACCCGAAAACACTCAACCTGAAGCAACTTCAACCCAAGGTATGACTGTACAGATATTTCTCCGAATCTCCGGACTTCCCCCACCCCACCCCCTCCATGGAGTCCCATTTTAAACAATCAAAACTGCATCTTCTTCCAAACTCTAACTTTTATTTCAATCCATATTGTCCATGGTCATTGTTACGCTACAAGTAAAATCAAAATCCTGCCAATGTTTCCATCAGCTTACAGTGGCCCCTTAGATAACTTAGAATTTTTTCCCATTCTTTTGTAAAGCATTTGTCCTCTTGGTTCCTGAGTTTCCCAGTCAGCTTTGCCATTTCAGCATAGTCCATCAGTTTGGTTTGCCATTCCTCTCTGGTAGGAGAGTGGGGTAATCGCCTCAGGCAGTAGATCTTGGGGCAGTGGTGGCAACCCCCTCCTACGGCTTTACTTCCTAATCCCCTGATTAATGAGCCCTAACAGAGGGAGGGGAGACTGTGCCATGTGTTCAGCCATGAAGAGGTCCGCTCATGAAACTGAAACTGGAGGGTGCAGAAGTGCAGCCCCAAAGTTAGGGGGAGAGTTTGTGGCATCATCATTCTTCAAGACACCATGCAAACCTATGCCCATGCCCCTTTCCCTCTGCCTTCCATCACTTCTTTGGTGAAAGCAAAGCTGTAAGTTGTTAAAATTAAAAAATAAACAAATTAAGCAATAGTAATAATGATTATGATTGCACTTAGTTCAACCAAGGCTGCCATCCACCACCTCCCTCCCACATACAAGGCATACTCAGCAGAGAAACACAACAGCAAAGAGAGCAATTCCAAGGTGAGCTAATAGAAAGGAAAAGAAACACACATTTGTTCATCTGCCGAGTATTTAGGGGCCTGACGGAGGGAGGGAAAGGTCTTGGAATACTCCCTGAAAACATATGCTCCCAGATGTCCCTGTTTGGGGGGGATGTACCCCTGGTAAATCCACACACATTTAACATTTGACACCTGTAAGCATGCTACAACCGTTGTTCCCTAGGGTCTCTAGCAGTTTCTTCCTGGCAAAAATGCATCTTGGTTTCCAGAGCATATGCCATGGATATGCATGCATGCCTATGAACACGGAGGTATGATGCAGTTCACCACCTGCTCTTTTACACACAGCAGGCAAATTTTAACACTGTTGATAACAGATTCATAGGACAGTTGGGTTCACAAACATATGGACTCTAGGAGAGCAGTGCCAAGTGTCAGCCGAAGACATACTACTGCCCAGTGTAGACCTCAAACGGCACCACTCCCCCAGTTCACAGTGCCTGAAGGAGGCCACTTCACCCCCGGCTGCATAGCAGGGCCGGCCCTCTGCAGGAGTAGCAGGTGCCATCCAGAACGTGAGGTTTGATTAGGGGAAGGGGGCTGTCAGGAAGCGATCCTTGGCACAGGGACTGGGGTTTAGCAATCAGGACTTTGTAATTATTTCTATTTCTATTATTTCTATTCCTATATCCTGCCCATCTGGCTGGGTTTCCCCAGCCATTCTGGGTGGCTTCCAGATATAAAAACATAACAATACATCAAACATTAACAACTTCCCAATACAGTGGAACCTCAGGTTAAGTACTTAATTCATTCCAGAGATCCGTTCTTAACCTGAAGCACCACTTTAGCTAATGGGGCCTCCTGCTGCTGTTGCGCCGCCGGAGCATGATTTCTGTTCTCATCCTGAAGCAAAGTTCTTAACCTGAGGTATTATTTCTGGGTTAGAGGAGTCTGTAACCTGAAGCATATGTAACCTGAAGCGTATGTAACCCGAGGTACCACTGTACAGAGCTACCTTCAGACGTCTTCTAAAAGTTGTGTAGTTCTTTACCCCTTAACATCTGAAGGGAGGGCGTTCCACAGGGAGGGTGCCACTGGCGAGAAGGTCCTCTGCCTGGTTCCCTGTAACGTCACTTCTCACAGTGAGGGAACTGCCAGAAGGCCCTTGGAGGTGGATCTCAGTACAACATACTGTATCGGAGGAAATGCAAACATGGTGTGTCAAAACTTAAGGAAGGCAGAGCATGCAGCAGCAAGAGAACCAGCTGCAGACCAGCTTCCAATAACCACAGAGGCCCTGCCTGCTTTGTGCTCCAGCTGTGCCAGGCACTGGGGCTCTGAGAAATTCCACACCTCTGCTGGCAAATACAGGCGGCCTCTTGGGGAGCAGCTTTCATATTCAAATCACCCTTGGCAAAGAGGAGCGGGGAGAACAAAAGGAGGGATTTGTGGGCCTTAGCAACCAGCACAAACCCCTTGAGTTGAGTTCTGGCCAAAAGCAAAGGACAAGCCTCTCCGTACAGGAATCCGAGCAGTTTCAGTTCTCTCTACAGTGCTCAGCCACAGACTATGCAACGGTGAAGTTCTCTCTCACACAACATGGAGAGCCCTCCCTTTAAAGAGTGTCTCTGCGAACTCTGCGACTGTGGGTAAGTGCAGTTCCTCTAGGTCATAGATAGGCAAACTAATGCCCAGGGCCGGATCCAGCCCAATCGCCTTCTCAATCCGGCCCGCAGACGGTCCGTGAATCAGTGTGTTTTTACATGAGTAGAATGTGTGCTTTTATTTAAAATGCACCTCTGGGTTATTTGTGGGGCATAGAAATTCTTTCATTTTTTATTTATTTTTCAAAATATAGTCCGGCCCCCCACAAGGTCTGAGGGACAGTGGACCGGCCACCTGCTGACAAAGGTTGCTGACCCTTGCTCTAGGTTTTGCAGGTTAAATGGTAGCCAGTGACAAGGAGCAGCTGGCAATGCATAGACCTTTACCCAGGCCCTGCATTCTCCCTTCCTCGCTTCCAGGGGTGGGTCCACTCAACCCAAACCATTTGGACCAGGTGTGGTGAACCTGGAGCCGTGGAAAATGTTGTTGGTCTCCCATCTGTTCCGACACCCAGCGTGGCCAATTGTCGGGAATTGTGCAAGTTGTGGTCCGCCAGCACTTGAGAGGGGCACAGCTTCTCCACCCCTGACTCAGAGCTTCCGTCGCTGGAAATAGATCTGGTTTGACTTAAGCAAGTGAGCCCATCTACATACAGAAGAAGAAGAAAACAGGCAGCAAGCAAGCCCAGCTGCATTGCAGCACATTGCAGAGAGGATGGGCTTGAATTTTTAAGGAATGCTCCGATCCCAGAACCCTCACAGTGGTACAAAGCCTGGCACATCCTGCCCACTGCACCTTCCATTTTCCAAACCAGGCTTTTATCTATCAAGGCGGGCAGAGAACGTCCATTACAGAGCAGCCTATAAAGCGGTATATGTAAAGGTAAAGGGACCCCTGACCATTAGGTCCAGTCGTGGCCGACTCTGGGGTTGCGGCGCTCATCTCACTTGGCTGAGGCAGCCGGCATACAGCTTCTGGGTCATGTGGCCAGCATGACTAAGCCACTTCTGGCGAACCAGAGCAGTGCACAGAAACACCATTTACCTTCCTGCCAGAGCTGTACCTATTTATCTACTTGTACTTTGACGTGCTTTCGAACTGCTAGGTTGGCAGGAGCAGGGACCGAGAAACGGGAGCTCACCCCGTTGCAGGGATTAAAACCACCGACCTTCTCATCGGCAAGCCCTAGGCTCTGTGGTTTAACCCACAGCGCCACCCACGTCCCGCAGTATATGTACAAATGACAAAAAAAGTATCCCCTTTTTCCTTGGCACACAGAGCTGTTGCCAGAGAGACAAGCCCCCTTGATGCCACCTAGTTCTCAGATGGTTGCTTGCTTCCCATGCAGCCGCCACAAGCGCCACAGGAACTGCCGAAAGCAACGGGTGCTGCTGGCGCAGCCGAAGACTGGGAAGAGCTGGCTCTCTCACTACAAGGCAACTTACACGTGCCCACCAGGTAAGAGGGGAAGAGGGGCCCAGCTGGCCTGGGAAAAGGCTGGGTCAGTGCCTTCGTTTCCCTGATCTCAACCATATCCCAGTACTTAACTGCTGTTCTTTCCCCCCTGCTCCAAACAGCTGTGCACCCGCGCAGCAGCAAGAGGCCCCCCTGCACCCCTCCACACCCAAATCCTCCTCCCATGGACCTCCAGACCACCCAGAGGGCAGAGTTTGTCGTCTGGGATCCAGGCAAGAGAACCAAGCATCCCACGAAGGTAAAGACAAGGGGGGGAGGTCTCCTGTCACCTGGGGTGAGGGGGAGCTCCCAGTTCTGCACGCAAATACCTACTTAATTTGCCCTCTTGCTTTTAGCACATCTCAGGGGAAACAGCTTCAAACACCTTGAAGGGAAGAAAGGGGAGCTTTTGGTTGGAATTATTTCTGTTAAAGAAATCGGAAGGAAACAAAGTTTCATCTCTATGCAGTACCCTGCATGGGCCAAACCTTGGCTCAGGTTTGCTTGTACATTTGATAAAGCCCCCTGCTCCTAAACATAACGTCATCACAGCACTTGACAGTTTTATGAACACACAGGTGGAAAGTTAGAGGCATGCAGGTGAGATTTACTGAGCGGGTTGTGGGGCCATCTGCTTTGCAGGAGAGGAGAGGCCAGCACCCACAGGGACCCTTCCAGAGCCGGGCTCTCTGCCGGCTCCCCTTCCTACCACGGGCATCCGCCCTCTCGCAGCATCCGAGCAAGCTCCAGCCCTGCAGCTCTGCAGTCAAGAACGGCTCCAGAAGCAAGGGATTCAAGAGGCAGCTTCCAGACCAGCCAGGTAAAGCTAAAAATGAAGAAAGCAGCAGCACCAAAACTAAGCTTGATAAGGGGACATTCAACTAACCTCAAATATAGTATTGGTTCTACCAAATCAGAGCTACGCTGGGGCAGGAATGGGAGGCCTGGTTGCACTTCTAAGTTGGAGGCTGCGTCAGGTCTTTGAACTAAAATGTTTCCTCTCTTCCCGTATCTGCCCCCACCTGAACACAGTCTAGGTGAGTTTCCCCTAGGATTAAAAGCAGCCTTCCATACAGGGGGAGTTGCAAGGCTGAGGATCCGAACTCTTCACACCAAAATAAAAGGGTATCATTCACCATTTTCTGCTCTGCAGGAGTAAATGTTGTCACCACCCCCAGCCACCCCTTGCCCTTGGGGAAGGGGGCATTCCTTGCAGAGAAGAGGGCCATCACAAAATCCTCAGAACCAGCAGCAGCTGAATATGTGACCAAGTACCAAAGCGATTTCCAAGAACAAAGGGCCTTTCTTGGCCAGGCTGCACCTGCCCTGCCTCCTCTGGACAACCTGGCAATCAACCCAGCTTTCAGGTGAGCATCACAGGTGCTGGGGAACGATTCTGGAGAGGTTTGGGACTGAGGAGAGACAGGAGCAGGGACTTCACACGTTAGTCTGATACCGTCAAAACAAAACCAGGAAGAGGCCAACGGCACCTTAAAGACAAAGCCATTGATCATGGCGTAAGATTTTCTACATTGGGCAAATGCGCCAGCACCAATGGGAAAGAATAAATGCACAGAAATAGGATTTCAGAAAGGAGAACATTTCGACCTACCAGACCACTTTGCTGTTGATCTTGGGGAGGCAAAGGGCCATCCTCAGGGAAAGGAACTTCAGTGTGAATTCGCTGGATTGCGACTCATCAGTAAGTTCAAAAACGTTCATCTGAGTCTGAATAGAGACCATGGTTTCCTGCCCAACTATAGGTGTTAACATAATTATCTTTGCAGTCTGAGTAAATGATCACCAATTTGCTGTGTCAAGGGTTCCTGTGCCTGTTTAACATACCCTCTAAGCTCTAATTGAATTATCACTGATGGTACTTGTCAGGGAACTGCCATCAGTACTGGAGGGAGAGCGCAAAAGCCAGAGGGATTCCAGAGAGCGTCCAGGGATCGGGAGGAGCAGCCCATCTTCTGGGGAAGAGAATCAGTGTAGCACCAGTGGAGAAGGGGGGGCAGGTGGGGCAGATGGGGAAGCGGCGAGGCGGTCCCATGACTCCTTGCCTGGGACCAGCGGGGAGAGTAGGGGTCCTCCATTGCCCACGCCCTCCCTGCGCAGAAGGCTTTCGCGCAAAGAGGGTAGGCGGAGACTAGGCGTCAAATAACTTCTTTGCTGGAAGAAGTTTAAGAGACACCCAATTACGGATTCTGCCAGCAACTGAGTCAGCCGCAGGTGAGTGGCTGTCCGGACAGAAGAGGTTCACTTTGGCAGCCCAGCCAGGTGTTTGCACCCAGCCAGGGAGATAGGCACCTGCTTACGCACGAGCAACCCCTTAGAACCATTACAGTACTTTTTGCATCTCAACTCCCACCTTGCATTTTTCTCCTCCTGCATCTACACCCGTCAACTGAGATATCACTTCATGCATCTGATGACATGTGTTTTGGTCCATGGAAAGTTATGCCATAAATCAATGAATTTGTTAGCCTTTAAGGTGCCGCAGGACTGACTTTTCTTTGGCAAGCGGTTTAAAGTCCCAAGAAAGGTTCCCTTTCATCCTCTTCCCAGGACCCCTCTGCCCATGAGAAAGTGCAGCATCTTCTTCTTGGATATTGTTACATTAGCACAGGTGTACCCAGGGCAATTTTCATTGGCCAACCATGAAAAGGTCAGCGAGGTAAGACCAGGCTCTTTAGAGACTCTAAAAGCAGTTCCCAAGAGGATCGAATGAATCACTATTCCTTCACAATGAGAGAACAAATACTGCTGCATGGTCAACTGGCTTAAAGGCCTTTCGGTAACCCGAGACTTAACAATGGGACTATTCGCTGCAGATTCTCACACGCCATCACTTCTGCACAGAACCAACTTCCAGACTGTCCACAGAGAGAGCTACCGTAGCTGGAACGCCTCTGCATACTCTCGTGCCAAGCTCATCACGCTGAAAAAGAACCGGGGGGCAGAGGAAGGTGGGAAATTTGAAGGAGACGACATTACCAAGGTAAGGGTTCACCCCAGCAGTAAAGGAAGTTGGTAAGAGAATGAGGATAGTACTTTCCTGCTTGAAATTTATCTCCCCTCACCCCTAAGGCTTAGGGAGGGAAACAGTGGAGCCCACTGAATTGCAAAATATGAGGGTCCCACTTCCTACTGGCATCATGCCCAAGACCTTCAGGCTTCACTTATAGGGTAGCTTCAAGTCCTCATTGCTCCCTTGGCTCTACTGGAATGAAGCCTAGTCACATCCCAACCCAGTGTTCCACCTCTAACGTGGCTCAGCTAGCTGGGCAAGCAGATAATTCCCTTCCCTGCCTCCTTCACCTACTTCTGCAGCTACTTTCTGAAGGGATGCGGATGGCGCTGTGGTCTAAACCACTGAACCTCTTGGGCTTGCCAATCAGGTTGGTGGTTCCAATCCCTGTGACGGTGGTGAGGTCTCGTTGCTCTGTCCCAGCTTCTGCCAACCTAGCAGTTCGGAAGCATGCCAGTGCAAGTAGATAAATAGGTACTGCTGTGGCAGGAAGGTAAACGGTGTTTCCGTGCACTCTGGTTTCTGTCACAATGTTCGGTTGTGCCAGAAGCAGTTTAGTCATGCTGGCCACATGACCCAGAAAGCTGTCTGTGCACAAACACCAGTTCCCTCAGCCTGAAGCGAGATGAGCACTGCACCCCAGTCACCTTTGACTGGACTTAACTGTCCAGAGATCCTTTACCTTTAAGGTAAAGGTAAAGGGACCGCTGACCATTAGGTCCAGTTGTGACCGACTCTGGGGTTGCGGCGCTCATCTCGCTTTATTGGCCAAGGGAGCCGGCGTACAGCTTCCAGGTCATGTGGCCAACATGACTAAGCCACTTCTGGCAAACCAGAGCAGCGCACGGAAACGCCATTTACCTTCCCACCGGAGCGGTACCTATTTATCTACTTGCACTTTGCTTTCGAACTGCTAGGTTGGCAGGAGCAGAGACCAAGCAACGGGAGCTCACCCCATTGCAGGGATTCAAACCACCGACCTTGTGATCGGCAAGTCCTAGGCTCTGTGGTTTAACCCACAGTGCCACCCACGTCTCTCCTTTACCTTTACCTTTACCTGTATCTTTTTTGCATTCCTCTCTTCTTGCAGCTTCCTTATCACCTTCCTGTCCTCCTCAACCATGTGGAGCCCATTAAACATCCAGGCACAGCCCTGAAATCTCTGGGTGCCCAGTTTGACAACTCCACAGCACACAGGTTCTTCTTCAGGGACTGGGGAGCTCAGCCTCGTATTCGATACGGAGACCCCTGGGAAAGAAGCTGCACCCACTCCTTGGTAAGGGACCTATTGAGCAGAGTGTGCTTTGGGGCAGAGCCGTAGCTCGGGGGCCAAGCCATCACTGCACCCTGGAATCCTGCCTAGTCACATCCTCGAATACTTATAAGGCTCCAGGTCCAGTCTCTGGCATTTCTGGTCTAAAGGTGATGAGAGGGATGCATCCTGCCTCAGCCCTGTCAGTCACAGCAGACAATACAGAGGCTAGACAGAGAAGTGGCTTGATTTGCAGCAAGGACGTTAGAAAGAGTGGTGGGAAGGCTGTCCTCTTCATGGGTCTGGGAAGAAAAACTTGGCCCTATTGTATAGGCTTAGTGGGGACGCGGGTGGCGCTGTGGGTTAAAGGCCTCACGTCTAGGACCTGCCGATTGAAAGGTTGGCGGTTCGAATCCCCCGCGGCGGGGTGGCGCTCCCGTTGCTTCGGTCCCAGCGCCTGCCCAACCTGGCAGTTCGAAGCACCCCCGGGTGCAAGTAGAAAATAGGGGACCACTTACCTAGCGGGAAGGTAAACCGCGTTCCGTGTTGCTGCGCTGGCTTGCCAGATGGCAGCTTATCACGTTGGCCCACGTGACCCGGAAGTGGTCTGCGGACAGCGCTGGCCCCCGGCCTATAGAGATGCAGATGGGCGCACAACCCTAGAGTCTGGCAGACTGGCCCGTACGGGCAGGGGTACCTTTACCTTACCTAATGTATAGCTTCTGTGAAGTAGAATAACCAAAAGGGACGTGTTGCAAGCAAGAGCCTAAAGGCATCAATAGAAAACCCCAATCTTGCTCAGTAGCTGAATCGGGTGAAAAAAGCAGCTCCCCGCCCCCCACCCCCAAAATGCCTGTTCCCAATCTCTCAGGGCACCGCAGATTTCCAAAGGGAAATGCACCTGTTGTTCAAGCCCAAGGAAGCAGTTGAAACTGGATCAGCTCTTCATTAGGAAGAGTGGACAAGATGCACGCACACTGCCTAGCATCATTTTCAAATTTCCTCAACGATCTACTCCACTCTCAGTCCTTCCCATTTCTAGTTAAACTACCTCTTCTGCAAGCATATATGAAGCGGATGTGAACGTGGTGGATTGGGCTGCTCTCTCACAGGAAGCCCTTTGTCGGCTCCTCTCATGGCTGTGGCTTAAGGTGTCAGACGAAGGACATTTTAATACTGTATCCCATCTCTGCCAACGGACACTGAAAGCATCTGCTGCTTGTTTCTGTTTTGTTTCAAAAGGGCCATTTTGGAAGCCAAACCACAACATGCAGCACTTATCTGCTGAAGAGAGCGGAGAAGGCCAAGAGCTACAAGCCAGAACTGAAACCCATCCAGACTGAGGGAGGGCAAGATTTTGCCACCATCCACAGAGAGGCTTACAGGTATCCAGCCAAATAGTGGCCAAGAAAAGCCCCAGGGAGGCATCCAAAAGTTTGGCTGGGGTGTTGCAGGGTAGAGATTGGAACAGCAGCAGCTTAAGCAAGCTCTGCATTCTCTTTTGCAGGCATATTCCACTCCCTGTCTGTCAACTGCAAATGTACCTAGCCCAGCAACAGAAGTCTAGGAAAGAAGCAGACGACTAAAGTGTGACTGTGCCAGAAGGGTCAGACCTCAGGGACTAATGGCTGAACATCGTGGATTTTAAAGGGGGCTGGAATCTATGTTCCTTCGCAAATTATAAAATTGTACTCTCAAGTTCTGTTCATGTTTGGATATTGCCATAGCAAAAACACACTTGTGTTCAATAAAAAGGAGTAATATAAACTCGAAACAGCTCAAGCCCAAATCTTTCTTGTTCCCTGGTATAAACATGGTGGTAACAGAACTTTACAAAATGCATACAACCAAATCGGAAAAGGAAGTTGTTATTTACAAACTGTACATCAAAAATACAAAGGGTTGTAAAAAAATTAGCTGCAGAGAATCCCATTTCCTATGAAAAAGTCTTTGCATTTAGCTTCCCTATGTTTTGCAGGAACAGAGGAGACCCCTTCGGTGACACCAGCAGATGCTTCAGGGGAAATGTAAAAGGGTTTCAAAATCTGCACGTTGACTTCCCAACTAGCTCCTTGAGCTGCTGTTGGAGGTGAGTTTATTCTCAAATACAAGAGTGCGGATTTCCAGCTGGTCCTTTTAGGAAAAGGCTATGGGAAAGCATTCTCCCTGCCCAGGCAAAAACTGCACAGTCCAGAAGTGTGTGCACCCAACAGTGCAAGACAGAAAACGCAGGAAGATGTTGTGCTTATGTACACCAGGATGTTCAGAGTCACAAACCAGCCAGTGGTTTCAACCATGGCCAGCAGCTACAAGAAAACACAGTCAAACCCTTCCAAGGAGCAGAAGGAACGTTATTCAATGAAGGGAGTCCTCCTTAACCTTGTCTCTTGTTGCTCCTTACCCAGAAAAAGCACCTGAGATTTCAAATACAGCTTACGATCAGCTGCAGCAACCTCAACTGCTCCATGAGGTTAATATGGAAGAGGCCAGTTTCTTCCAGCAGTGGATTTCCAGAGGTTTCCATCCGAAAAGGACTTTGGGCTTCTGCACCATAGGTGGCTCTCTCTCACTCCTCCTTGTCCAGTCTATATATACTGCAGGAATTCCATCAGTCTCGCCTTCTGCCTGGAAACAGCAAGCTGCCTCGAAGCCCTTCCAAAACCACCTGGAACAGTCTTGATAGGTGGACCCCTTTAACCCTGTTACAGAGGAGAGCCTTCCATCTCCAGCACTGTGAGGAGGTTCCATCTCAGGATGGAAAATCACATGTCCTCAACACTCCACTTGTATGCCAGCTCCTGAACTGCCTTTTTACTTGAGATCCTGGCAAACCGCTTCTGCTCAAAGCCGTTGGACCTACAGGAACAGAAACAAAGTCAATAAGGTGACCCAACAAAAAACTGGGGCAGACAGATTTCTTGGGGGAGCTGGGTGGCCTTCACGGTGCAACCAAGTCCTTCAAATTTCCCAGCCCCAAATCTTGGTCATGAGAAAGTTGCCAACAGCAGCTGAATGAAGATAACCCACCTACCCGCAAACTTCACAAAGAAACCCCATTAGGGATGCTGCTTCAGTGTCCTGATCAGGGACAGAGGATGGACGCGAAACCAGAAGTTGTTTCAGCAATAAGTCAATATTGCAAGTAGGAAATGCCAAATGGGTATATCACATGGTTCTTTGTAACTGGAGACCATCTATTACCATTACTAGCAGAAAGACAGACTTACCTGTCTACTCCATCCCAGCGATACCCAGGCCAGATGTTGAACCTATTAAGTGGGGGTGCTGGTCCATTGTATCTTGGCTTTTCTGAAGGAGGGGAAGGAAAATAAGCAAACAGCTTCAACCATTATTATTTTTCCAGTGAAGCCAGGGAGTTATGCTAGCACTGACCCAACACACATAGAGGAAGTCAACAGTGGTCCTCAAAGACAGTGTGATTTATGGGGAAGACAATGTGCAAGGCACAGGGTTGTTCATGGGAAGACAGAGGCAAGGCAAAAAAGCAGAATGCCTGATATGCCATCCATCACAAAATGCCTTCCTAGAGGAAGAAGCCCTGAACAACATCTTCCCCTCCTCTACCCCAGAAAGCAATTTTTGTTGAGGGGAGCTTAGAAGTAGAATGTGAGGACTGGGTGTAACAGAGAAGGACGACGGGGCAGTTTCTTGCCCAGTTCTCTTCACCACAAAGCTTTAGTCACTCCTCTGACTCCTGACACCCCACCCTTTTCAAAAGGCATTGTTGAAAATTCCATTTAGGTGCATTTCTTAGGGTCAAAGTTATTTCCAAGCTGAACATTCCACCTCTTAGCTGTAACAGATCAGAAATGACCTTTGGGAAGCACGAGAATTAGCAGAGTGCCTCTTCCTGTCAACCACAGCCACCCTCCCCACCGCCACAAACCAGTAACACCTGGAGACCGCAAGTGCTGACCTTTGGTATCTTTCTTCTCCTTGGCCTTCTTCTTCTTAAGGAACTCGGCCATGGGGTCCCCCTCACGCTCCTGCTCCCGCAGCATCTTGTCCAAGTCCTGGTCGTCAATGTACCGGGCCAGTGGCTTCTGCATTTCTTTCGCTGCATCTTCCACATTCTGCTGCTGCTGCCGGCTCTGTGTGAGGCTGCAGGGAGAGGCACAAACCAAAGCAGGGCATAAGCGGCTGGACTCAACTTTTTTTCTTGCCTTTTTTGCACAAGACACTACAGGAGGTTTGGAAAGAGAGAAGGGTCACCTGCTGTTGCCCAAGTCAGCAACATACCGAGGAAGGCTTGAGACAGCGGCTTTTCTCTGAGGGGGATGATTGTGGCTCAATGCTAGAGCCCCTGCTTTGCAGGCAGGAGGTGTCAGGTTCCATCTTCTGAGCTGGTGTTAGGACACCTTCCTTTCTCACTGTTAAGTGAGTTTTCCCATCCCCATTTTTCAGTGGTCTGATAGGAAATTAGGGATTCTGCCCTGAACGCAGGAACCATCCAGCTTACCCCTTTCCCCATTTGGCATACTGCTCATCTCGCTCGGATTTCTCCTCTGCTTTCTTGCGCTGTTCCAGCAGCTCCTGCTTCAGGTCCCTTTTGCGTCCCGACTTGTCCCGGAAAACTGTTTCAGCATGTCGTGATTCAACTGGGGAAGGGAAGCGGGGGAGAAGGAGTCAGGCATTCAAGCTAGCCACAACAGGGGGCTGAAAAATGTCGCACCATCAAATCTATCCGTTTGGTGAACTCAGCACACCCAGTAAACATTTGATTATTTCTGTAGAAAAGCAACGCTGTAAATGATAAATTGAACTGGTATTTTTCCACTTGCAGGAAATGCGGGTCTCTGGACTGCAGAACTTTGCTTTTAGACTTACAATGAGCCAAGGACGAGACAAATCCTATGTCTCACCACCACTACTGCTAGCAGCTCTTGAGTTTCACAGGTGAAAGGTCTATCTGCATTTCCTTTCAATCTGCTGGGTGCTAACTTCATTGGGTGTGAACAATTAGACTCCAAATATCTGTAAAAGGTAAAGGGACTCCTGACCATTAGGTCCAGTCGTGACTGACTCTGGGGTTGCGGCGCTCATCTCGCTTTATTGGCTGAGGGAGCTGGCGTACAGCTTCCAGGTCATGTGGCCAGCATGACTAAGCCGCACAGAAACGCCATTTACCTTCCCACCGGAGTGGTACCTATTTATCTACTTGCACTTTTGACGTGCTTTCAAACTGCTAGGTTGGCAGGAGCAGGGACTGAGCAACGGGAGCTCACCCCGTCGCAGGGATTCGAACCGCCGACCTTCTGATCGGCAAGTCCTAGGCTCTGTGGTTTAACCCACAGCACCACCAGCATCAAATATCTGTAGGCTTGCACATTTTTCAATCATAGCCCCCTACATCCGTATGAAAGGAGAGTGGTTCGCTTTAGAGAATGCAGAAGCTGCAAATACCCATTCCTGCAACTAGAAGTCCCAGCTCATCACCACTGCATTTGCAGGAGGACCTGCCCAAAACTCTGGTGGGCCCTGCTCCACTTTGGAGAGTCACAGCCGAACACTTCCTTTTGAAAGCCACTTTCATTCCTGCTATAGTAACCCAGTCTTGGCAGGGATGACATGTCCTGATGGGTTTTAAACAGAGGTGCCCATACAACCCCGGGGGTGAGGGCTGGATTCATGTCCTACTTGTGCCATGAAGTCACTGTGTGACCCTGAGAAAGTCACATTCTCCACCTCTGCCTCCCACCCCACAGCTCACCTTCCAAATGTTTGCTGCTGCTTTGCTGTTTCCTGAGCTCATGCTGCTCCTTCCTCAGCAGCTCAGCTGACACTAAGCCAGCTTTGCCCCCCGAAAGCATCTGAGGGCCCTGCAAGCCAAAAGCAGCACAACAGCTATGTCAAAAATAAAAATGCTACCCTTGTGCCAGTTCCACAAAAGTACTAAACCCCATACAATTCCAGTGTAGCTGCCTCTGAGGGAAGTCATTCCCCACAGCACATGGGGAAAGCATACAGGAAATCATTACAGGGTCCTTACTTATTTAGAGCATTTGTACTCTGCTCTTCAGCCCAAAAGGCTCCCAGAGTAGTTTAGATATAATCAATTAAAACAAGACATCCCTGCCTGCAGATTTACCATCTATTAAAAAAAACACCACAACACACAGAGAGAAAAGGGGCAGGGAGAGAAGAAGAAAAAGCAAAGTCTGGCACCAATTCTTCAACAGTTCTTATCATGGTTGTCACGCTTACAAAACAGAATCAGCACATTTACTGCTGAATAACGAAGTCCTCACCTTTTGGATGCCATCCTTCCCTTTGGTGTCCTTGGCCCGTCGAGGTGGTGAGAGGTCAGGGGGGCTCTCGGATCTGTGGGCCTTCCTCCTGCCTTCTTGACCTCTTCGGGGAGGGGACAAATCAGAGTCTGAAGACTTGCCCCGTGTTCTTCTGGGAGGAGAGAGGTCGGAAGGAGAGCTCGGGCGCTGTGAGTGTGTACTGCGAGAGGCCCGTGGTGGGGAAAGGTCTGAATCTGAGGAGGTTTTGGCACTCCTCCTGGGTGGGGGAGAATCGGAGTCGGATTCAGAATCATGCCTCTGGCGCTTCCTCGGTGAAGGTGCTGATGAATGGGACCGTTTATTGGCTTCAGAGTCTGTAAAGTGGCATACAAGCATCAAAACAAATTACCAAATGTGACTGGATGTTTACCAGGACTTCCAATAAGAATAACTCACACTCCCCAAACATACTTGTCTCTGGAGAAAGGCTTCCACAAATCTACTCACCTCTGGCGTTGCTTTGTTTTTCTAGACCCCCAGTGGGCAACTGCCGTTTCTGAGACAGCAATGGGCTGGCATCAGAATCACGCGTCTTCTTCTGGGGTGGTGACAGGTCAGAGGTAGCTTGCCACCTTTGATGGGCTGAGGGCTTGTCAGAGTAGCGTTCCTGTCGGCCTCCATGCGAGCTTCTGGTATTATTTTTGCCTGTGTCAGAATGATGCCTTTTAGGTGATGGATCTGGTGAGCCACGGCGGCCCCTCCTGGGCGGGGACGGATCTGGTGAGTCACGACGGCCCCTCCTGGGTGGGGATTGATCTGCTGAGTCACAACGGATCCTCCTGGGCGGAGACTGGTCCGGCGAGTCACGGAGGACCCTCCTGGGCGGTGATTGGTCCAGCGAGTCATGACGTCTCCTCGGCGGTGACTGGTCTGGCGAATGCCTTGCTCTTTTTTGTTTTGTGGCATCTGAACTGGAAGGAAAACCAAAATGCACATTAGTCAAAGCTTCAAACAGGCAAGTCACTTTCAGTAAAATTTTGCTGCCTTATATGGTTTTGACACAGCATGCTGGCAGCAAGCGGGGAGTAGCAATCCTGACCAGAGAACACCCAGTGGGCTGACTCAGCCTCCTGGTGTTGGCACTTGAAACTCTGCCACTGCCAGTTTCTTTGCCAATACCACCACAGTCAGAATGCCAACTGTCCACCATGTGTGCTCTTTCTTTGGAATCATGTGACAATTAATTATTTATCTTGACACCCCTCTTATACCGCACTACGGCCAGCCCAGTCCTTACTATGTTCATAAAGATGTTGGGAGGCTTACTGTGCCCTTTTCAACTGTGCAGAGCCTACACAGTCTGTTTTCAATGAGCCTGCAACAAGCTTTGTGCCTTAGCTTCAAAGATTTCATAGAGCTGGTGTGCTACAAACATGAAGTGCTAGTCATTCCTTCCACTCACAAACTATGTTAAATAGCTGCTCCAGTCCAGAAGGTTAAAGTCACTGTCACAGCAGCTGTTAAAATCATCCTGAAGGAGCTTTTCTTCCTCCTCCTCCTCCTCCTCCTCCTTTGGTGATCCCTCGTAGACAAGTAAGATTGTCTTTCATGAACACTGTCTTAACATTCAGTTGGATTTGTAGCAGAGAAGTTGTTTTGTGCTTGTTGGTGCAGCACTTTGGTTTTTGGGATGTTGAGCGATAGGTCTTTTCGTAAGCTTCTGCAAAAATACGTAGGATGGTTTGGAAATCATCCCCTGAGTGTGCACACACTACGTTGACATCAGCATACTGAAGCACTATGACGGAAGTTATGGTAACCTTACTCTTTGCTTTCAGCCGACTCAAGTTAAAGAGCTTTCCATCTGTTCCTCCTATACCACAGATGTGTCCTAATCAGGAAAACATGAGCTGTTAAATGCTTAACTAAATACCCTCCTTACCTCTTTGTTGACTTTGCAGTCACAGAACGATCAGATTCTTCTGACTCTTTCTTTTGATCTGAAAAAAGAACGCAATTCAAGCCATGTTTATGTAGACCTCTGAATCGTCTCCATAACATTATGAGAAGATGCAAGTTTTGTGGCTTTTGCAATGGTCATGCAAAGGACAGCAATGTCTAGAAACTAACCCAGGAGTGGTGATGTGAAACGGAACATGTTCCAGTGCTTTATCTTTCTGCATAATGCATTCCATCTCATATGGTAATTAGTAACAATTAACATCAATTGAAAATACTGTGTTAGGCAAGTCAGACAAAGCCAACCTTTCTAAGTGTTGTTTACTAAATATAAGTAAAATAAACACACTAGATTAGATCACCTTCTAGAGCATTAGAAAGTTTTCCAATGCAAATTACCCCAATTCATTTTTTTCCCACTGGAAAATTCACATCACTGTCCAGGAAGAGAGCACATATTTTTCCATGCAAAAGATCCTAGAGATAATACCTGGTGTCTCAAGGTGGGAGAAGAGACTCCTGCTAGTCAGTATCTATAACACTGAGCTGGATGGATCAAAGTCTGACTTGGCATAAGGCAACTCCCTGCATTCCTATGCTCGCCCCCTCCCTGAGCTAAAGTAAACCCCTGACAGGCTTTTTTGGCAACCCACAAACTTCTTTTTCAAATTCCACTTCCCACAAACTGTTTCACCCTGAAAATACTGCTGGACTACAACTCCCACCATCCCTGAGCATTAACTATGCTGGCTGGGGGATGATGTGAGTTGGGATGTCATTGAAGGGTCACTGTTGACCCACTTCTGTAGCATAGTTATGAAAAATGGATTACACGTGATACGTCATAGCAAAAATGTTCACACTAACTGAATTCTACATGAGATTCCATTACTGACAGTTTGCATTCTTATGACTCATAATGTCTTATTTTGTTAAGACCCCAATGAACCTCTACATTGCCTAAACACTAATAAGTGTATTTATTTTCCATCTTCATTCTTTTTTGCGTAGTAACCGCTATTTCTTGGTTACGCTTCCATAACATTTACTAAGCTACTTCTCTGTTCACCTAACCACATTCTTCTGCCACAACTACAGAAAGAGAGACAAAACTACACAAAAGAACCCCCTCACTCCCCCCCCAAAAAAATTAGTGCCCATATTGGCTGTGTGCCTACATGCAGAGCTAACCTGATGAAAGTATCTCACAGAGCACAAAATAATCACCCCATTAGAAGAACTACAGGACACTAACCTCCCAAGAGCTTCCACTTGTTACTAGTTCGGAATTCTTCCATCCATTTAACTTCATCTGGCCGCTCATCAATAAACTCAGCCACCTGGAAGGAAAGACAGGAGATCTGGGCAATCCCAAGAGGCATGTCGCACTGCAAAGCCAAAATCTCCCCAGCTGAGCGACCCTTTTTACAGTGTGTACTCAATGCATCTGTGCTTGTCTGAACCCTCCAATTTCAATGAGTAAAATGGAAATTATATTGATCTTCACTACACACGACTGAGAAGAAAAGGTGATGTACTTACTCAGAGAGTTAAACAGTTTTAAATAAGTGATGGTACAGCTAAGCTCTCTGTTTCCAACTGCCTCCAAATACTCACCACAGGCAAGTCTCCATCATCCCCCTCCTCATCCTCTTTTTCCTGCTCAATAGGGACATTTTTCCAGCTCGTGTCATCATCATCCACTATGCGAATTCTGAATGTCGAACAGATAACACAACATGATCAAAGATCAGCATATTGTTTAAATGTATTCTCTGGGAAAAAGAGCAGCTCTCTAGAATAAGAAATCGCATTAGTATCACAGTGTAGCATCTTACAATCACTTCAATTTATTAAGCCATCATACACATGAAGAAATCTTCTAGATAACTGCTAGGCTGTTAGAAAATTGTTTTACCAGCAAACTGGAGGTTAAAAAAACCTCTTTCCAACCCCAGGAGGAGCACAGGAAGTGTTTGTGCGACACACCTACACACTGCAGCCAACACACTAACATATTGCGACAGGGTTTGGAAAGCTCTGCCTTAGAGCAAGGGTGAGCAACTGCTGCACTCTGCCTAATTTCAGGGAAAGATGCCATGCCCCAGACAGATTAACCCCTCCCCTAAATGTGGGTCTGAACAGGAACAGGAAAAGGCTCCAAGGTACCATAAGGGGAAAACAATTGCATAAATCTACCTAGTTATTGAGGGACGTGGGTGGCGCTGTGGTCTAAACTACAGAGCCTAGGGCTTCCCGATCAGGTCAGCGGTTTAAATCCCCGCGACAGGGTGAGCTCCTGTTGCTTGGTCCCTGCTCCTGCCAACCTAGCAGTTCGAAAGCACATCAAAGTGCAAGTAGATAAATAGTTACCACTCCAGCGGGAAGGTAAACAGTGTTTCCATGCGCTGCTCTGGTTTGCCAGAAGCAGCTTAGTCATGCTGGCCACATGACCCAGAAGCTGTTCGCCGGCTCCTTCGGCCAGTAAAGCGAGATGAGCGCTGCAACCCCAGAGTCGTCCGCGACTGGACCTAATGGTCAGGGTTCCCTTTACCTTTACCTAGTTATTAGGTTTCCCACATCCAAACCCAACATTCTGACTACCCTGTTAGAAGCTCAGAATGCACAAGTGGGCTGCACCCTCATTTTTCTTATTATGTGGTGTCCACTGCTTTAAGAGTTGAGTGGCATGCTAAAGGCTTCTATGGGCAGCACCATCAACGTACTTGCCATTTTGCAGGATTCTCATACAAAGACCACAAACTGCTGCCTTCTAGGACCTTACAATCTGAAAGCTATAGTAAACTCCTAGAAAAGACAGGGAAGGAATAGAATGAATGACAGCCAATGCTACTGAATGATACTGACGCTTGGTTACACAACTGGAGAGAAAGAGGGTAAATGGAAGATTGGTGGAGGCATAAAAAGACTCACATTCCAGCACTAATCTGGTAGAAATAGGAAACCAGAAATTGCGTAGACAAGGTCATGAAATGCCACACAGATGATGTGAGCAAGTGGGCTGCCTGGGACTTGTTCACCTTTGTCGTATAGAAGGAGGAATTTCACAGGTACGACATAAACCCAGCATGAAATGCAAGTAGGCTGCTAGACAAGGAAGGGTCTCCTCCACCCCACCCAGCCGTGCAATGCTCCATCCCTCCTCTGCTGCGTATCAACAAGCAAGTAAAAAATGCTGCAGACCAGTATATTTGGGCATATCTGCAAGGCTATTAAAAACACAAATGGGCGTTGTGGCTTGAGAAGCAGGGCGGGCAGTCTGACCAACCAAGGCTGCCCTGCGATGAACTTTGGCATTCGACCGTCATTTATTCTTTTATATCCCTTTCTTTTGGCCCCCCAAGAAGCTCAATGGTGGCACACATGGTTCTCCCTTCCATTCTCACTTAACACCCCCGCCCACAACAACCCTGCGAGGTAGGCGAGGCTGAGAGGCCGTGCGAGGGGATTTGAAGCGCAGGCATTTCTATGCGTTCACACCCCTCAAAAGGGGGGGAAAGGAGAGCGGGGAAAGGGAGGAGGGTCTCCTCGCCATCGGCAAGAAGGAGGAGGAGGCCGCGGCGACAGAGCCAACAACCACCCCCGGCCCTCCATCCCTCCATCCTTGTTCCCTCCCTCCCTCCGTCTCCTACCTTCCCGGCGGCAGCTCCTTCGCCGCCTTCTTCTTCTTGCGCCGCTTCTTGGCCTCCGAGTCCGCCTCCGGCCCGTCGGCCTCCAGGTAGCGCCGCCGCAGGTATTCGGCCTTGGACAGGCCCGAGGCTGAAGCCGAGGCCGCCGCCATCTTCCTCAGGCGGGAGGAAGCGGAAGCCAGGTCGGCGACGGAGTCAGAACCATAGAGAACGAGGCTCTTTTTTCCTCCTTTCTCTATGGTTGGAGCTGCTGGGGGCCGTGAAGAGCGCGGGGTCCTGGGGCGCCCTCTAGCGGCAGCATCTCTGCGCAAGGAATGGGAGGCAATACTGTAATCCCGCGCCCACCAGGCGACCGGGGAGCGGGGGAGGACAGAGCAGCAACCCTTGTTTATTACTGCAAGCCTATCCGCACCTTTTCCTTCAGGGTGCTCATGGTGAATGGCCTGATAACACTTGTAGTTTAATGGTGAATTTTGGATATAATGAAGATGTAAAAAAAATGGATTATTATAAAAGACGCAGGTGGAAATGACTAACAATTGGACTCATGAAAGGGAGGAGGGGAGTCCAGGAGATGCTATGCAATCTTGTCTTTCTGTTGTGTGTTGGATATGTGATTGTAAAACTGTAATTTGAAAAACCAAATAAATAAGTTTATTTTATTTTTAAAGGTGAATCGCCTGGTTCTCTTCCTCCCCACCACAACCTTGTGAGGTGGGCTAGGCGGAGGATACAGGCACTGGCCCAAGGTGACTTTCACAGCCAAGCGAGTGGGGTGGAGAGCATAATAATAATAATAATATTTATGCCCCACCCATCTGGATGAATTTCCCCAGCCACTCTGGGCGGCTTCCAATCGTTAAAAACAATACAGCATTAAATATTAAAAACTTCCCTAAACAGGGCTGCCTTCAGATGTCTTTTAAAGAGAATATAGCTGCTTATTTCCTTCACATCTGAAGGGAGGGCGTTTCACAGGGCGGGCACCACTACTGAGAAGGTCCTCTGTCTGGTTCCCTGTAACCTAACTTCTCGCAATGAGGGAACCGCCAGAAGGCCCTCAGTGTCCGGGCAGAACGATGGGGGTGGCAGAATGACAGAACTGTAAAGTTGGAAGACCCCAGGGGTCATTCAGTCTGAACCCTGCAAGCAGGAATCACAGCTGAAGCATCTCTGACAGATGGCCACCCAGCTTCTCCTTAGAAACCTCCAATAAAAAAGTGTGCCACTTTCCGAGGGAGCCTGTTGCGCTATCAAACAGCTCTTAGTGCCTGAAAGCTCTTCTTAATGTTTAGTTGGAATCTCCCTTCTTTTTATTTTTAATCCACTGCTTTGGGATAGTCCCAAGAGACTGCAGTAGTAACGCAGTAAAGAGAGAGGAGTGGAGAGAGAAGAGGCAGAAGCAGACCTACCACCTATTTTAGGATCCTTCATAGGGAGGCATAGGTGCCAACTACTATATTTGAGGGGGCCAGGGGGCCCCAAAGCTGATGGGCATTGCCACTCAAATGGTGTGTGTGTGACACGTCTTGTAATGTGGGGCAGAGATAACCTGGCCTCCCAATATTTTATTCAAGTTGGCACCCCTGTAGCCCCCTGACCCTTGCCTCTCAAGCCTCTCAATACTATTGCCAGGCTGAGAGGCTTCCACATTTCAGGAACAGAGCAATATGGGTGATCGCCTGCTGCTGCCCTCACCTCCTCCCAACTGTAGATTTACCAGAGGCACTGGGTTGGGCAGAGCACCATTAGTGTGGGAAACAGGGCAGCAGGATATGTATGGTCTGATCCAGCAATACATTCCTGTTTGGTATTCTCTATCCACTGGGACATGGGTGGCACTGTGGGTTAAACCACAGAGCCTAGGACTTGCTGATCAGAAGGTCAGCGGTTCGAATCCCCGCAACGGGGTGAGCTCCCGTTGCTCGGTCCCTGCTCCTGCCAACCTAGCAGTTCGAAAGCACGTCAAAGTGCAAGTAGATAAATAGGTACCGCTCCGGCAGGAAGGTAAACGGCATTTCCGTGTGCTGCTCTGGTTCGCCAGAAGCGGCTTAGTCATGCTGGCCACATGACCCAGAAGATGTGCGCAGGCTCCCTCGGCCAATAAAGTGAGATGAACGCTGCAACCCCAGAGTCGGCCACGACTGAACCTAATGGTCAGGGGTCCCTTTACCCTTTATCTTATCCACTGCAGCACAGGCCAGAGAGCTAAGAACAATTCCATGTACAGGTAGAAAATATAATCACAGACACAGACCTTCAGAAGCCCCCTAATTTACAGGAGCCTTTGTCCACCTGGTTCCCTCAAGATGTTTTGAGCAGTCACTCCCATCAGCTGCTCTTCCCGCCCACCAGGATGATCATCCAAAACAGCTGGAGAGCTTCAGCCTTGCAAAGGCCAAATTACGCCAAGACACCTAGGTGGAGAGCCTACCTTAAACAAACACTATTTATTACAAGTGTGCAGCTGACAGGTGTCAGCCTTGACAGGTTTTTAGACAAAATTGCCCAGCCTTAGCTAACACATGAAGAGGAAAGCAGGCTACACTTAATAGCCCCTACCTTTGCGAAGCAGAGACAATCAGTGCCGCTTGTGTGAAAATATGATTCTTTCAAGGTCGGGTACCAGCTTTTAGTTTAAGAGGGAGCTAAGGTCGATTACATCCCTACTGTTCTTCAGGACTTGAATATCCCTCATTTTTCTCCTAAGAGCAGAGTGGCCCTAGCAGAGGGTGAGCAGGAGTTGTCTTTTCACACACCTCACTTTTATTGCTCTGGGGGAAAAACAAATGCAAAAAAACCAAACACCCGCAAGGGAACAGGGGAGAAGAGAAGACCGACAATGTTGCCTCCCTTACTGAAAATGCCAGACACTATTCATGCAGGTGGCGCTGTGGGTAAAAGCCTCAGCGCCTAGGGCTTGCCGATCGAAACGTCGGCGGTTCGAATCCCTGCGGCGGGGTGCGCTCCCGTCGTTTGGTCCCAGCGCCTGCCAACCTAGCAGTTCGAAAGCACCCCCGGGTGCAAGTAGATAAATAGGGACCGCTTACAAGCGGGAAGGTAAACGGCATTTTCGTGTGCGGCTCTGGCTCGCCAGAGCAGCGATGTCACGCTGGCCATGTGACCCGGAAGTGTCTCCGGACAGCGCTGGCGCCCCGGCCTCTTGAGTGAGATGGGCGCACAACCCTAGAGTCTGGCAAGACTGGCCCGTATGGGCAGGGGTACCTTTACCTTTACCTTATTCATGCAGGAGGCAGCACTCAATACAGAACCAAGTGCTGAAGATCCTGGGCAATGATATACCTGGGAATCTAACTTTGACGGGCCAGTTCGGGGAGTAAATCGAGCAGAGGATGGCCTGTGCCGTTTGCACCAACAGAATCCCGGCCATAACAAAATGAGCCTCAAACCAGAAGCAATGCTTTTGCTTTTTATGAGAAGCCCTGCTAGCAAGCTTTCCGTGGGTCAAATTCAATCCAGAGAGTCACAAGCCGACCCTTCTTTCGCCAGGCAGGCAGAACTGTTCGTCTTTTTCTGCACAACACTGTCCCGGCCTCTGTGTGGCGCTGCTACCGCTGGGAAGTGCCGTCTGCTTCGTAGCCCTCTGTTTTCATGTCGTTGAGGCCCAGCTCTTCGTTCTGCTCAAACTGCCGCTCGTAGTGCTCCACTCGCATCTCCGGGTCTTCCTCAGGAGCGTAAACGTTCTGCGGGCAGCAAGAGGCGGTTGTGTTATGCGGGGATACGACACAGAAACCCTTCCTGCACAGCCCACAAAGGGTGGAAGGGTACCACGGCCTGCTCCCTGTTTAGCTCATTTTAGGAAAGGGATCACATAGTTTGCGCAAGGGCCAAATCTAGAGCAGGTGTATATTGAGATCAGTTACATGGAACATGCATATGGATGAGAGCTATCAGCCAGCGCAGCAGGTGGTCTGGGATGTTGAGAATTGAGTCCAACATTCTTCTGGAGAACACCAGGTGCCCCATCCCTTGACTTGTATACACCTCTCTCTCTCTCTCTCTTGAATACTTTTCAAGGCATGCAAAGCTGGGCCTGAGCACAAGCATGCTTGGATTCTTCAGCAATATGTTTGGAGGCACCTGGATATCCGATGTTTTCCCCAATCTCAAAACTCCCCACTTATCCTCAAAATCCAAGATGCTAAGCCCAAAAGATTGCAACTTGGCTCAAGCCGTTTTCAACATTGAGTGTGTTAGCCAAGGATTCTCCGGCCTCAAGCCCCCAATGCACTACCCAGGCCCCTCAAACCCCAAACTTAGGCAGCTGCTCCGTTCCTTGTCCTGTGTCCCGTTCCTGACATGGGTAAGGAAGGTACAGACTCTCCTGTGGCCCTATAAACATCCCTGTTGTAACCTCCACTCCTCCAGCGTTACCATCCTCCACTGTCCGGAGGTCTCCAGCTCTGTCAAATGACTCTGCCTTTTCTTCCCTTGCTGTCCCGGGTGCTGAGCTGGGTCACATAACACCTGGGTTGGTGCCATCTTAGCCTGTTCTCAGCAGTGTCAATATCTTAGGCCTCTTGTCATCACCATCATTTTGTGCTCTTTCTCCCCAAGCACTTTGAAACTCAGCAGCCAGGCACATGCATACACCACAGCCTGTCTTTTTCAAATGGGCCAATCTCAGAACTTTCCTGTTCTCAGGAACCAACATGACCAGCACTTGCTACAGAACTATCTGCTAAACAACCCCTTGTTTCTTCTTTCCCAAGTTCACTGTACCTGGAGGTAACTGTTCCCTGCAGGGTCATCCAGGACAAAATGTATCCTCAACTGCCCATCTACTACCTGGAGAGAAACAGAAAAGGCACGCCCATCAGAGAAGGCTTCACAGCCTCTCGTCCCAGCCAGAAAATTAGCCCAAGTACAGGAGGAGCATCAAGCCAAAGAGCCCAAATGCCCTTCTCATCATTTATTTAGCTTACATACCACTCGATGGGACGCAGGTGGCGCTGTGGGTTAAAGCCTCAGCACCTAGGACTTGCCGATCGAAAGGTCGGCGGTTTGAATCCCTGCGGCGGGGTGCGCTCCTGTCGTTCGGTCCCAGCGCCTGCCAACCTAGCAGTTCGAAAGCACCTTTGGGTGCAAGTAGATAAATAGGGACCGCTTACTAGCGGGAAGGTAAACGGTGTTCCGTGTGCTGCGCTGGCTTGCCAGAG